TTTTTTTTATGCATTAATAGGCTTTTAATGTGCGTTTAGATGCAGCCATGAACGCTGATGCGTCAATAGAGCGTTTATTTTGTGCTGAAATATAAAATCGGCCATGATGTGAATAACAACATGAATCAAGGACTAGATCTTCTAGCTGATTTATTTATTTATATATTCACAGTCCTATAGGGTGTCTGCGTTCACAATATAAGTCTCTTTTATATCGTTATTATTATAATTTAATTGATTTAGTATACAGAGTAATTTAGGTTATGACTTCTTTTTTTTACTCTTCTGGTGTATAGTTTCTTTTTATTACCTCACCATGAAGTTGCTGAATTCATAATAGGTGTTGATTATGTAAATGTGATTTAATTCGGTTTCTGACATCGTCATCGAGTTGTTTCTCACGAAGGAAGCTGTGAAAGTTCCTGTTTCCGTTGTACATCAGACACTTTTATTTCAAAGATCAAGGATAATTTGATTTTGAATGTTATGAACTCTACATTGAGTGTGTTTAAGCGCTGCTTGAGGCAATGCAGCGTGTCTGATTTATTCTGTGGAGAGGCTAACAACACACTTCACCGACAGAGACTCGCTCCAAAGTGTTGTCGTCATGACAATCTAAAGGATTCATTTCTCTCTTCACTAAAGAAGATTTTTAAATGCTGAGCTCCAAAAAAGCATGATGCAAAAATTGTAGAGGTTCAACAGCTTGTCCTGGAGAAAAAAAAAGGACATTTTTGTACCTTTTTACCACAAAAAGGTTCATAGTAATACCTTAAGGTACGTATTGGTACTCTAATGTGCAACTTTTAGGAGTAAAACATGTACAAAGATGTCCTTTTTTAAAGGTACTGCTCCAGGACGAGCTGTTGTACCTCTAAAGGTACAATTTTTACCTTTTTCCTCTGTGCATATCGGCAGTCTTCTGAAATCCTGTAATAGCTGTGCATGAGGAAATATAAGTCATTCTTACTGATAATATTCTCCTTCGCTTTAGAGTATGATGGCTTAAATGAGTAAATGTTCAGCCTTTTATGTATGTATCTGTATACTTTCCTTGTATAGAGCGCAGTATGTCAGATGTTCATGCTCTCATCTGTCTTCAATGAAGCACGAAATGATAATATCACACTGTCATGAGGGCGGTAAATGCTGTCAGCGTTTGAAGCAGTCGAGGTCTGAGCTGCTGACACAGAGGTTTCCGCTGGACTCAGGGAGTAATGGAGGTCCTGACGCGCGAGGAAGACGCCGAACCCTCGGCTAAACCCTTGAGCTCGGTGTCCAACAGATACCCTGATGCTGAAGCTCACCGACACTGATTTACAGTGCAGATTCACAGCTCTGGTGAAGATGCAATGGCGCTAAAACACTGAAATATTGATGATAAACAGGTTTCAGTAGATTCCTATGATATTTAAATATATAAAAAGTCTGTAAATGCACCATGTTGTGATGTACACTGATATTCAGAAAGATTGAGGTCAGTAAGATTGTTAAAATGTTTTTTAAAAAATAGAAATCTTTTGTAACATTATGTCCACTCATGAAGGGTGAGGTCGCGTTGTTTCTGCACTGTTAACCCTTGCTGTGAAAAAAGGCCGAATTCTGACAGTATCAAACCATTTTCCATTAAAACAGTAATATACCATAGAAAACAATGCATTCTGGCTAATACTTGTCGTTTTCGAGAAAGTAGCCTACAGGAATATACTGTGAATTAACAGAGCTCAAAGTTGACACTCAAGAGACGTGTTCCCAATCACACCCTATACCCTCATTCACTATTCCCTACATTAGTTCACTAATATAGTCCACTTGTGAGAGTGAATGAAAAGAAGTGAGTGAATTGAGACACTGATGAACACCTGATAAGCAGAATCACTGAACGACAGAGAAACAAGAACAGAAAAAGAGAAGATATACAACTGACTTCCAGCAACACTGAGTGTGAAACCAGTTTACAGTTTTCTCCATTGCTTATTTTAGAGTTATGTGAATAACTGTTAATGTGTATTCTTCAAATTATTCTTAATTATGAAATGGAACTAAAACGAACACATTTAAAGCACATGATATAAAATTAAAACACATTTGAACATGCGTGACTAAAAGCCTCTGCGGGCAGATTTATGGATGCTGTGTTGCATGTGTCATAGAGTGTGTGTAATGAGATCATATCTGTCTGAAAAAGGGGAAGGTCAGTGGAACTACACATTCATTGAGCCGTTTCATCATCTCTCCGGCAGCTCTTGTCCTCTTGCACTCCTCTTTCCATATGTTCAGCAAATCCGCCTTTTCCTGCAGTTTAGTCCTGACTCGGCATGCAAACGTGTGTTTCTCTCGGAGGCGATGCTGAACGTTTGCTGAATCAGCCGAATCTCCCAGGTGGCGAGACGAACCCTCTATCCGTGTGTGTGTGTGTGTGTGTGTGTGTGTGTGTGTGCAGGCCGGATCTGCTCTGATCTAAAGATCTCTGAGGGTTCAGAGAAACACGTGTGCTGTGAATCCAGATCAGATCCACCCACAATGCATCACTATTCAGAGTCGCCTACTACTACACTATATTTGTGAGTGCAGGAGACTGCATGCCTCCAGAAAATCTGCATTCTCAGAAGTTGAATGAACTGGAAGTAATATCAGTCGCGGTGTGTAACGTCTCTTTTTTGATCGGACTTATGAGGTCATGTGACAACAGCGTGGCATTATATTGACAAATATGTATTGCATAATGCATACTGTATTTCATACGGTTTTATGCAGAATTGTGACTAAATCTGTAGAAACTGGGACAGTTAAATGGCTTTAAAGAATATATTTACATGACGGCTTACAGTCTGTTCAAAGAGATTTGGGAGGTGAAGCACAATGTGTGTGTGTGTGTGTGTGTGTGTGTGTGTGTGTGTGTGTGTGTGTGTGTGAGAGAGAGAGAGAGAGAGAGAGAGAGAGAGAGAGAGTGTGTGTGTGTGTGTGTGTGTGTGTGTGTGTGTGTGTGTGTGTGTGTGTGTGTGTGTGTGTGTGTGTGTGTGTGTGTGTGTGTGTGTGTGTGTGTGTGTGTGTGTGTGTGTGTGTGTGTGTGTGTGTGTGCGAGACAGAGCGAGTGTGTGTGTGTTTGTGTGTGTGTGTGTGTGTGTGTGTTTATGTGTGAGAGAGAGAGCGAGTGTGTGTGTGTGTGAGAGAGAGAGGGAGAGTGTTTGTGTGAGTGTGTGTGTGTGTGAGAGAGAGAGAGAGAGAGAGAGAGAGAGAGAGAGAGAGAGAGAGAGAGAGAGAGAGAGAGAGAGTGTGTGTGTGTGTGTGTGTGTGTGTGAGAGAGAGAGTGTGAGTGCGTGTGTGTGTGTGTGTGTGTGTGTGTGTGTGAGAGAGAGTGTGAGTGCGCGTGTGTGTGTGTGTGTGTGTGTGTGTGTGTGTGTGTGTGTGTGTGTGTGTGTGTTTGCGCGCGCGTGTGTGTGTGTGTGTGTGTGTGTGTGTGTGTGTCTTTAGTATCATGTGTCCTGGTTCTGTGTGTGGAGAGATACTCAATACCCGAGTGACACAAAGCCTCGCCTGAACCCGAGAGCTGATGCTGGACTCACTCGTTAAATCTAACCATTTTCATGCCATCACCAAATATAGACGCATAGATATGAATAATACATTCATGCAATATTATTTTCAAAATTGGCTAGAACGTCTTTAGGTCAGCATGAATAAGTCATAATGAGAAATGCTGTAATTACGCTATGAGATATAATAGGCTTATACATTTAATCTTGTTTTTCTCTTTTGATTTTGTGGTATATCAACCTGACATCTTTGTGCGATTCACCCAAAAATAGAAGCATAATGCTCCTTTTATTAAATTAATGAGATGTTAAAATGAAATGAAATCCTTTGGAAATATGAAACAGTCATAAATCTTTGTCACAATAAAGAAAATTATGTTTTACTTTGCAGTTTGTTATTCTAATAATTCTCAAAGGCGACTTTAATTAGACTCACATTTACTATAATATAGTCATTTACTGTAATATAGTCACTGTAATATAGTCATTTACTGTAAAATACTCATTTACTGTAATATAGTCACTGTAATAGTAATTTACTGTAATATAGCCATTTACTGTAATATAGAGTTAAAATGAACTCAAATTCACTACATCAAATACTATAATTCATAAACTCTTTACATAGCAAATATTTGTATATTTTTTAATCATAATTGTCTTAAATATAGTCACAAAAATCTTAATGGTCCTTAAAATAGGCTTTCTTTAATTTCAATTAAAATAGTATGTCTTATTCATTTTGGGATTAAATATGACCCATATCTTATAGGCTGGTTTTTTTTTTCGTTTGTTTTTTGCATAGGCTAATTATGCATTAATGATACAAAACTGTCACTGATGGAAGTATTTTGAGTTTTGTTTGCCGTTGTGTTTATAGATACATTACTATGTTTTTACTTACAGTCAAACCACAATTTATTCAGACACCTTCAACATTTCTCACATTATCACAGTTTATTCGCTATTTTAGAACATGGTATGAAATATGAGCAGAACTTATTTTAGTTATTAAATCAGTGGATATTTCACTGGTTTTGTCCGTCCTTCTGTTAGACTCTCACACATGAATTATGTTGAATATCTGTCCGCTGTTAAATTTAACTACACAATTAGATAATACCAGTTTAGCTCAACCAGTGACCAAGCAATGCTTCATGTTGTTCAGTCTGTGGTGTAGAAATGTCGCATTAGCAAGAAAAAACACTTTTTGGTCCCAAATTTTATACATTTTACTGGTAGTCACTGCATGAAGAATATTTGGGTATAATATGTCGCATTTTACTTTATTTGGCTATCCTCACTTACATAAATGAACTATAGTGTCTTACACCCACTAGTAAAAAAAAAAAAGATATCGGGTGTCTGAATACTTTTTGGTTTGACTGTATGTGTGTTACCGTCCGTGTCCGTGAAGCTCGTGCTCGCTCGTTGAGTGAAGTCTTAACTACACTTTAACCGGCATCGATCTCTCGCGCTCGTCCAACTGTAGTAACCGTGCCGTCCGCGGTGGGTGACGTCACACCGGGCTCCCGGTAACGGAGCTGACCCCTCACGCGCTCTGCTGTCCACTGCGGGAAACAGCGGCACACGAGGGACAAAACACAGCGAAACTGTTGAGCCTGTGCGCTTCTCTACTCGCCACTGATCACCGATCCGCTAGTTTCAATCTGTTTGTGTTTGTGGTGGATTACGCGCGCGCTCAACAAAACAAACTCTTGGATGTACTGAGGAAGATGAGCAGTTTGAGGGATGAAGCCCGCGCACTGGACGCTCCTCGGGTGAGTACGACTGATTTAAAGCGTTTTTGACAATTATTTGTGTTTATTTAAGTGGTCCGCTGAAGATGCGCGCGACCGTTGTGTGGTTGCGCGCGCGCTCGAACACCTGCTCCACCTGAGGCGATGCAATTTCTCTTAGAAACACGTTTAAAAACTTATAAAAGATGTTCGCACATTGAGATATTAGTTTGAATTACTTCACTAGAGCTTTTGTTAAAGCCGGCCTGCGCTTTATGACGATTTGACTAATATATTGAGGCGGTCAAACTCATCGACGGTGTTTACAACCACATATTCCTGTTTAGTTTCAAAAAAGCGCTCAAAACAGAAACATATGAATCCATAGTCAGATCTCTGCCTGTTCTTGAAGATCCAGCATGATGGGCAGATAAGCATTCAGGAAAGTCCTTATTTAGGCTATACTTGACCATTTTTGATTGTCATTGTGATTTGAGCAAAGATTTACTAGTCATATTAGAAGGTAATATTTGTAAATTTTAAAAACAAAAATGTATTAAAAGGTAGGTGGAGGGGGGTTAAAATGTTGAAAAATCATCAATTACTATGCAAATAAAAGTGATTTTATGAATCATGTTAAGTTAGAAGTAGTCTTTTGAAGGAAACAACTGCACATTTTTGTGTTTAATGCACTTTAAGTCTCTGTGTATCTCTCTCTCTCTCTCTCTCTCTCTCTCTCTCTCTCTCTCTCTCTCTCTCTCTCTCTCTCTCTATGTGTGTGTGTGTGTGTGTGTGTGTGTGTGTCTCTCTCTCTGTGTGTGTGTGTCAGAGAGAGAGAGAGAGAGAGAGAGAGGGAGAGAGAGATTGTGTGTGTGAGTTTGTGTGAGTGTGTGTGTGTGTGTGTGAGTTAGAGAGAGTGTGTGTGTGTGTGTGTGTGTGTGTGTGTGTGTGTGTGTGTGTGTGTGTGTGTGTGTGTGTGTGTGTGTGTGTGTGTGTGTGTGTGTGTGGTGAATTCAGTGTGATTTTGACTCTTTTTTTCCATTGAGATGACTTGGAAAAAAAGTGTCCTGTATTATTCAAAGAGGAATGGCATTGTTCAAAATAGCATGTTATAGTTTAGTTAGCAGAGCTTTAACTGTTCACCTGGCTTATTTGGTGCATCTGACTCCAGATCTGCCCTCGGTCGCTGTGATGTTCATGATGTTCAGTAAGTGATGAACAGTATATTGACGGCTATAAATAGTGAGTTCCAGTAAACAGTCTGCACAGCACGAGATAGTTTCTCCTCGCTGGCCGGTGATCTTCACTTGTCTGGTCATTAAAGGAGATGTTGGCCTGAGTGTTTATCTTATGCAGAAGTCATTTATTCCCCTCAGTGTGTGTGTGTGTGTGTGTGCTCTGCTTTGAGAGGCTACGTCGCTTCTCCATGAACAAAGCACGTGTGTGTGTGTGTGTGTGTGTGTGTGAGAGGAACAGTTTAGTTCTGCAAATTGATCCATAATTAGAAGCAGGCATCCAGAGCTTAAAGCAAACAGTGGAGCGTTACAGGAGGATAATATTGACGTTATATTCCTGGAGTGTTTGAATGTGATAAAGTGAAAACATGATCAGCAATATTTTAATATCTGCACTGGAGCTCAAATGTGCTTACTAATCTCCTGGGAATTGTTACAGGAGCGTTTCTGCATTAGCGGATTATTTGCTCTGGGTTTGGGTGTTCTTTGTTGGACTGGTCATGTAAGGTGTGTGTGTGTGTGTGTGTGTCAGAATAAACCAAACAACAGTCTGAAACCACACCACTCTTACAGTGTTTAGATATTATTTATTATGATTTATTATTGGGGAAATCTTACAGTAAAACAAGCAGTGAAAAATATGATGTTTTGCAAGATGAGAAGTTTATCTATGTATCAGCTTTTAAATATTTTTAATATGTTTGTGTATAGTTGACCGTTTCGGGACACAGAAAGCATGTGAGGATCAGTCTCTTTAGCAGTTTAATGCGCTTTTAGTAACACTTTTAGAAATAAAGCATGTCCCGCAGAAGACTGTATTTCACGACAGTCACGTTACATGATTTGACTGATTTGGACATTAAGTTAAGGCTTTTAACTCTTTCCCTGACAACTTTCTTTTTTTTTATTGCCAGCCAGCGTTTTTTAAAATAATTTTCACAAAACAAATTTTTTTGTTTGAAAGGCAATATGCGAATGGGCGTGAACGGCCCAACCCCCTCATGAATAATTAGGTGATTCTCACCTGAGAAGACAAAGATGCATTCATTTCATTCAGGTGTGTCACAAGAAAGAATGCATGGAAAATATATTTACATATATACACACACACAGACACACACACATATATATATATATATATATATATATATATATATATATATATAAATATAAATGAAAGTCAAAAGCACATTTTTAGTCATACCTGGAAACAAATCCTGTGCAAATAGGTTATATGGGCCATTCAATAGAATTGTTTCAAAGATAGAGTTGGAAACATCTTGAAAAGAAAATTGTTAAAAGAAAATAGTCTTTTTCCATAAATCTCTTATAAAGTATTATTTTTTAAAGTATGCAAATACATTTTATTATACATATTTCAAAGTTAAGGATTCATTATTTTGATATAGCCTAGCTGGTACAAACACTATAACAGTTGATACGTTTTTTTTTTTTGACAAAACATACTATATATTTAACATATGAGCAGAAACTGCTAACAAAAGCTTATTTGATGTCTATTTTAGAGTTAAAACTTTATAATCTATCCTAAACTAGTCACACACACACACACACAAACACACACACACACACACACAGAAACATGATTCAAATTTAAACAGTAGGCTATTTTTGCGTTTACAGACACTAACGTTATTCATCGCGATTAGAACAAGGTAGGTAAATGTCCCAGGATTATTCCTCAAGCTAGGGCTGGGCGATATATCGCACGATATTGTTATGCGCATCTCGTCAGTAAAGCCGGTTCCTTGATTAGTAGTAAATCGCCTTCACCTGCTTTCAGATGGAGCGGCATTTACTACAAAGAGCCGTAGTTAACTGGCAAGCTGAGCTATGGTTATGGTGATCAGTGTTTGCTTTAGTTGGGCTCTTGACCCTTTTATTATTAACTTTAGTTTATGTTCAGCTGTTGTATTCGAGTCATACCTGCCAGATGAACAAGGAAAAACAATGATCTAATGGTATTGATTATATTATGACATTCATCATTTGAGCTAATTGTTTGTGATTAATGCTGTTGGTTACAGCATAATTGAGATTCTGCATAAATATCCAGAATTTGTGATATAATATAAAAGATTTCTTAAAAGTTGTAAAAAAAAAAAAAAAAAAAAAAAAATTTTGTTTTAGGCAGACACAGATATCAAGATTCAGTTAATGCATCTCAACAATGGTGATGAACAGAATATTCAATTAGGAAAAGTAAATTACATAGACAATCCAGATCATAATTTATTCATACCGCAATGCATGATGGGAGCCATTAATGAGTTGTGATTGGTGGCAACAAGGATTATTATTGTCACCACGGTTGAGATTCACAGGCTGATTATTGATGTCTGTGTTTCTAAATAAATGCATTTGAAAGTGATTTGATCAGAACAATTTTTATTAAATGGTTTGGATTTTAAGAAACATACGATTATCATATGTTGTAGGACCACTAAACTGTTGCTATCAAATTAAACAAAATCATCTTCATTTTTCAGATCACAGTATGATTATGTCAAAACATAACCAACACTATCAGATCACACTTGTTTTTGTTCATTTGACTGTTATAAATCAATAACAGCAGACAAAAATTTTTTTAACTCAAAGTTTAAGGATTCAAGAGCCCAACTAAAGCAAACACTGATCGCCATAACGGTGGCTTACAATTTTAGATTTTCTCCTTCAGTGATTCTGCTTGTTAACATCAGGTGTCTTCAATAATGCTCAATGATCACTAAATTAATCACTTAATTATCTCATTAACTTTAACACTCATATCTGCATCATATCTTCCATCTGAAAGCAGGTGAAGGCGATTTACTACTAATCAAAGAACCGGCTTTACTGAAGAGACGCGCATAACAATATCGTGCGATATATCGCCCAGCCCTACCTCAAGCCGCGCAAGACGACAGTACATTAATCTGACTAAATATAGTGTGTTTACCGAGTTGATATGTGGGCGTTTTACATGTCTCAATGTGTTGCTTCAGATCATTAGCGTTTGAAAAGCGCACGCTCTCCGTGGGCGTGTCACATTAGCGGAATAATGAGATGAGAAGGCTGATACCTCTCTCTTTTTATATAGATTACATAAACAGGGAATATTTATTTTAGTTTTAAATTATATAATTTAAAAGTACAAACGTAAATGATCATAAACATATATTGCTCATGTCTGGGTGAATAGTATTAGCTGAGTTTTGTTTAAGTTTAGAGACGTGCTCCAGAAAAAAAGTTCACGGACACGGAGAAGCAGAACGCACACCCTGTTTATTTTCTTTATTTTACAAAAGCACAATATTTTAATTCGATTGCAGGTGGGCACATAAAAAAGTAGACATTTAACAGTTTTTTTTTTATATGTTTCATAACTCTGTATGACCAGAAATGATGGAGTAGTTTAAGTCTATTTTTCTGCTCTGTGAAAAAAATCTGCCAAAACGCACGGGTGCGTTTTTGGTCCCCAGAGGGTTAAAAAAAAACCTAAAACGTTTTATTCTAGCTTTATGCATGTTTTTTATCCACACTTAAATATGGGTACGTTTAAAAAAAGCAACATTTTGTGCAAAAAGCTGAGCAAATCAAGTTTTCGTTCAACTCTACATCCGGATCTGATTCAGAACGATGATCTAAACACAGATGAGTCGATCGAGTCCATCGACACCCTAAAGCTTCACAGTCCTGTAGCTCGTCCTGCTTACGCAGTTTTGATTAATATGCTGTTTAATGTTGATGATCGCGTCATTTTACATTTTCAGTTGCTTACATATGAGATCGCATGTTTCTGCT